GGTAAGGTTCAACTCTACTGATGGGGACATAGTAAGTGGCTGGCTCCAATAATCTTTCTCTTGTTAGACCAAGATAGGAGGATCTGTAAGGAATCCAGAGATGCCATTGGGCCCATCTGACAAGTCTGCTGATGGAAGCCAGGATTCCTAGTAGTTGCATCTATTTTCTTGCTGTTACCAGGCAGAAATGAAGAAACTGGGAGAGAAAACCTTTACAATCTGTGGAACTATTCCCGAGATAGGGAAAAGCAGAGCCTAGAATTTTCCACTCAGGAATGTCATCCACTGAGCTGGTCAAACTGCTTTTCTTGATATTCATCAAGCAGCCAAACTTTATGAGTTATGAAAGAACTATATACCTATGTGTGCCTGTCTTCTGAGGGTCTAAGGCTATCAGAAGTAGATCCTCCAGATAATGGAACCAGGTGGAGTTCTGGACTCTCAATAACATTATAAGCACATAGAAAGATTCTTGGGGCCGCATTGAGGCCAAATGGTAGGGCACTAACATGGAAGTTCTCTTCTGAGCTAATGCCGAAGATCTCTGCAGATTGGACTGAAAGTAAGCATCCTTGAGATATATAGAGGTAAGGAAATTATCCTTCCAGATTGCTTGAGATATGGATCTGATTGACTCCATCCCAAAGACTCTAACATTCAGCCTCTTGTTGGCCCCTCTTAGGTCCAGTGTAGGCTTTCATGTGCTTTTCCTCTTAGCACCAGAAGAGAGGCGAAACTTGTCCCTGGAACTGCTCTTGTTCTGGGACCTAAAAAAAAAATCACCTCTTCGTCCAGAAGGCTTCTTCCTTCAGTGCTTTACCTTTGGATTCATTGGTCTTAATACTGTTGGTATGGAGACTCCTGTGCCCGTTAAGAAAAACTCCAGTCTATATCAATCTGGACCATGGATACCACTCAAGCCTCCAGAGTATGACGAGCCCAGGTATGTGTGATCAGAAAAATTAGGCTCCTAGTACTGGAGGAGATATTTTCATTGCTGAAGAGCAAAACAACTGTGTTCTAGCTCCATTAGAACCTTGAAAGGCAGGTTTACCAACTGCCATGAGTTACCTCTGGAGTATTCCCTACAGTGCCAGTAGCTCCCTGTATCTCAGAAATACTGGTCACTGGATGTTCTCCGGTCAGACTATGAGGAGCTGGGATCCTTGGAACTTCCATCCTAAGGTACCAATATCTTGCAGCCCTCATTCGCCTTTTCAATGGAATTATCAAAATTTTTCACAAACAGCACCACCCCTTCAAATAGAATGGTGTAGAGGGCAGACTTGGAGGATGAGTCATCATCCCAGAAACAGAAACATAATGCTTTCTTAGCTGCTATAGATAAAGCCATTTGATCCAGAGGATATCCTAGTTACATCTAGGGAAGTTTCTGTGAAGAAGTCAGTTGTAACCTGAAGACTTCAGACTGCCTCTTCAATCTTGGCTTTTAATATCTTGCTCCATAGTAGCCTTTAGATCTTTAATCACATATTTCATGTTTGTAGAAACAGCAGCGGAAATCACAGCTGGCTGGCCTCCTGCAATGGTAGGCGTAAAATTTTGGACAGGTCTGCGTCCACCTATGATCCATAAGTGTGCAACTTAGGTGGTGAAATTTTGGGGTTGGAAATAACTTCCTCCACATGGTAAAGCCTGGCCTCTTTTCTTACCCCTAAGGCCTCTGGAACTTACTTTGTAAGCCCTGCCTGCATGTCATGTGGCTGCACAGTGATAGGTCATGCTGAAGCGACAACCTTCTGGAGGAAGTCAGTGCATAACCGATTCCATCCACTGTTTTCTCCTCATAACTAGATCCTGGTGAAGAATCAGACACCTGACAAATAATAATAACTAAATATTACCTGTGGTAAAGTATTAAGAAAAAATGTGCACTGTTAAATTCTATAAGAAGCCAGCGAAACCGCTTTAAAACAGGCTAAAGACAGCACTTATCCATGTCTGGAGACCCTGCAAATACTTACCCAATAAGTGTGGTATGTTTACTGTAATTTTCCCTTTATTTTAGGCACTTTCTGGCAATTGCCCTTATCCAAGATGGCTGCCACAACTTGTATTCCCACAATGCAAGTCATCTGTATTAGGCCCAATAAAGCACAAACTGCACACATGTGGGCCTATTCCGAGTGTGTTTGTTGTTTAGAGACCAGGGAGAGGACTCTGTCTGAAGCCTACATGGCCCCTAAACACCCAGGGAACCGGGAATAAATCACTGGGACCGAGGGAAAGCAAAATAGATAACAAAAGTGCCTGCAAGGAAGTTTAAAAGGAAACCAGGTGCAAAAAGTCCAAGTTTAAAGGCACCACAGTCTAAAGGCCTCAAGGTATAAAAGGTAACCGTTTTCAAATGTAACAGTTTCCAAAATGTAACAGTTTTTAAAATATATCAGTCTTCAAATGCACTGCGGTTTCCAATGACTTGCGGTATTACATGCAACAGTATTAAATGCAAATTTAAATGAAACAGTTTTAAATGCCACACAGCTTAAATGCTTCTTAGCAAAAGCACAACCGCATAATGTACCACAATCTTAAAAATAAGGTACAACTGTACAATGCACTAGTTTAACCCCTTAAGGACACATGACATGTGTGACATGTCATGGTTCCCTTTTATTCCACAAGTTTGGTCCTTAAGGGGTTAAAGATATCAAAGCTTAAATGCATCACAGCATAAAAGCACAACTGCATAATGTACTACAGTAAAACAGCAAATAAAGTAATGAAAATAAAACAACATACATGTCCGTAAGTAAAGGGAGCAAATTGCTCACGTCCTAAGGGCTGTAGGACAGGAAAAAGACTGAGGACCTTAGGGATGGAGCCTCCTTTTAAAACCTTGGTGGTTTTCCTGTCCTATCGGCTGTAGGGGAGGAGCTAACCCATGTGTATATGCTGCCATGATTAGCCAGGAAATGTGATTTATCTCCTAAATGGCAAAGAATTAAGCAGTGAAACTTCAGAGGCATGATCTATACACACAACCTGCTTCGTTAAGATAAAGTTGTTTTGGTGACTGACTATAGTGTCCCTTAAGCCTATGGTACTTATGGATCTTGAAGTGTTCATAAACCTTTGTCAGATATGGTTGTGTATATTAACATTATACTATATACATGCAATTCCCCCCTATGGTTTCATTGATACTTCTTCAATAAAGATAAATAATTTACAGAAATACTTGCTTGTGAGAGCAGAACAATATTACTAAAGCACTCACAGCTACAGGTACAGTATCTCACAAAAGTGAGTACACACCTCAGATTTTTTGTAAATATTTTATATCTTTTCATGTGACAACACTGAAGAAATTACACTCTGCTACAATGTAAAGTAGTAAATGTACAGCCTGTATAACAGTATAAATTTGCTGTCCCCTCAAAATAATACAACACAGCCATTAATGTCTAAACCAGCGGTTCCAAAACTGTGCCACAGCACCCTGGGGCGCCGCGGAATGTTTCCCCGGTGCTATGATTATATCACTGGGGAAACATTACTGCTGAACAGGGGCCAGATCAGGTGCCATGGTCCTTTAAGACCGTGACCAGACCTGTGTAATGTCGGCCGGCTGGGATGAAATGACACCCTGTCACTTCCTCCCAGCGTCATGCAGAGAGACAGCGCGTGAGGGGAGCATGAAGAGCTCCAGAACACTCACTCCCACCAGCAGCAGGACTCCAAGCCACCCTCCTGGCACATAAGTGACAGGAGGGTGGCTGGAAAGATTTAAAAAAAATCAAGAAAAAAATCACTTGAGTGTGTGTGATATATAAATATATGTATATATATATGTCAGTGTGCGTCAGGGTGTGGGCATGTATCAATGTTTGTGTGTGTCAAGGTGCATGTGTGTATATGTCGGTGTGTATCTATGTATGTGTTTCTATATGTGTGTATATGTCGGTGTGTATCTATGTATGTCTGGTCTAAACCGTTGGCAACAAAAATGAGTACACCCCTAAGTGGAAATATCCAGATTGGGCCCAAGGTGTCAATATTTTGTGTGGCCACCATTATTTTACAGCACTGCCTTAACCCTCATGGGAATGGAGTTCACCAGAGTTTCACAGGTTGCCACTGGATTCCTCTTCCACTCCTCCATGACGACATCACGGAGCTGGTGGATGTTAGAGACCTTGCGCTACCCCACTTTACGTTTGAGGATACCCCACAGATGCTCAGTAGGGTTTAGGTCTGGAAACATGCTTGGCCAGTCCATCACCTTTACCTTCAGCTTCTTTAGCAAGGCAGTGGTCGTCTTGGAGGTGTGTTTGGGGTCATTATCATGTTGGAATACTACCCTGCAGCACAGTCCCTGAAGGGAGGGGATCATGCTCTGCTTCAGTATGTCACAGTACATGTTGGCATTTATGGTTCCCTCAATGAACTGTAGCTCCCTAGTGCCGGCAGCACTCATGCAGGCCCAGATCATGACACTCCCACCACCATGCTTGATTGTAGGCAAGACACACTTGTCTTTGTACTCTTCACCTGGTTGCCGCCACACACGCTTGACACCATCTGAACCAAGCAAGTTTATCTTGGTCTCATCGGACCACAGGACATGGTTCCAGTAATCCATTTTTAGTCTGCTTGTCTTCAGCAAACTGTTTGCGGGCTTTCTTGT